GGAACTGTAGAGTGGAGGGGGGAGATGGGGAGAGTTGTAGAGTGGAGGGGGGGGAGATGGGGAGTCCTGGAAGGAATGGGGGGGAGAGGAACTGTAGAGTGGAGGGGGGGGAGATGGGGAGTCCTGGAAGTTGCAACGCCTCCCTGTTCTCTGGAGGGCACGGAACAACTTGGGCGTCTTGGAGGGGGGGGTGGCCCTCTCTCGGGGAGCCGAGGCCCCTCCCCCGCAGGGAACCCCCATCTTGGGGAAACAAGTCTGGGAAGGTCCCCCCCCCTCTCACCCCGCCCCGGCCCTCGCGACGGCCCGAGGCAGCGGCTGGAACAATGCCGGGGAACGGGGGGTGCCGCCGCCGGCCGGGTTTCCCCGAGGAGGGGAAGCGGAGGGGGGGGGACCCCACGCTCGGAGACCCGGGCCGGGCCTGCAAAAGCACGGTGACCCCCCACACACACCCACACCCCCGCTCCCACCCCGCACCCCGGCCGGACCCGGGCGCCCCCCGCCGGCGCCCGCCAGGCCCCGAGTACCTGCTCCGCCGGGGGTCGGTCCATGGCGCCGCAGGCGCGACGGGCCCGCTCTAGTCGGTCTGAGGGGCGCCTCGGGCCGCTTTCTCCATGGCCCCCCGCTCGCCTCCAGGGTTGGGCTCCAGGACGGACCTCCGCCACTCTCTGCAGAAGCCGCGACACCGAGCGGGTGACGCCACTGCCTGAGGAGGCGGTTCCGGAGCCGGGAGGGGGAGGCGGCGGCGGCGGCGGGGCGGCAGCGGCCCTGGGGAGGGATCATCTGGGACGGAAGCCGACGAGGCTCGAAAGGGCGGGCAAGCGAAGCCGGAAATGGAGCCGCGCGCTGAAGGGAAAGGGGGCGGGGCAACGGCGGCAGGAGGCGGGGCGACCTACATGGCCCGGCGGCGGGAACCCAGGGGTGGCCAGCGCAGGCTGAGGTCCTAGGTGTTCTGGCTTGGGGGGGGGGGGGGGGGAAGCGGGCCTCCAACCACATCCCGGGTCTTCAGGGGCTTTAGAAACCTCTTCAGCATCCTAGGGCCCCTCTTACTGCTATTACGAGGGCTTTTAGCTGCCTTCTGTGTGTGTGTGTGTGTGTCTGTGTGTGTCTGTGTGTATATCCTTGCTCATGTCACCTCCCTGTAGGGAGCCTGGACTTTAAAGAAAGTCACCTATGGGATCTTGACCCAGAAAAACAAATATGCATAAATAAAATTGCACACAAAGAGTAAGCATCAGCAAAAGAGAAAGAAAAAAAAGTCCACTTACAAAGGCCCACAAATTTGGGGCTGGGAAGGTGGCTCAGTTGTAGAGTGCTTGCCTAGCAGGCATGAAGCCCTGGGTTCAATTCCTCAGTATCACATACATGGAAAAAGCCAGAAGTGGGGCTGTGGCTCAGGTGGTAGAGTGCTAGCCTTGAGCAAAAGAAGTTCAGGGACAGTGTCCAGGCCCAAAATTCAAGCCCAGGACTGGCAAAAAGAAAGAAAAGAAAGGTCCACAAATACGTATTGAATAATGTATTTTCCAGGCCCACCTCTAAGTTCCATGTCCAGTCTATCACAAAACCCTAGTTGTACTTAGAATCTGTTTAACACTACCCAACATATAATTATACACTCTAGTATGCCATTTCATGAACTCTGATTATTTATTATTCCTTCTAATTGTCACATCTTTACCTCCTTGAAGATAGAATGTTTTGAAACTGGACACTAATGTTAACATGGCAAAAAGTCTTTCTGGGAAATTAGGCACAGCCTCCAACACACACAACCTCCCCTAAAGAGTTCTTGCTTTGATGGACAACTCTAGGGTGAGAAAGAAATCTAAACTAAATAAGCTAAGCTATACTGAGGTGAAGAAAGAACATGGAAATGGCTATTGTTTGGGACAGTGATGAGATCCAGTTCTGGAAGAGTGAAAGCAATTTTTAAGAAATTTGCTTAGTTTTGCTTCAAAGACTGGATCTCCCCTTTGGGATAGTCTACATTGTGTTTTGTTTTTGTTTTGTTTTTTTTTAACTGGTTTTATTTAAAGACTGCAGGGAAGTAGAGCTATGGCTCAAAGAGATAGAGCACTAGCCTTGAGCAAAAAATGCTTAGAGACCGCTCTGAGTTCAAGCCCCACAACCATCAACAGAAAAAACAAAACAAAACAAAACAAAAAAACATTTACAAGCTTCAGTGCTTACCTACATTCATGAAGCCCTGGGTTTGATTCCTCAGTACCATATAAACAGAAAAGGTCGGAAGTGGCACTGTGGTTCAATTGGCAGAGTATCTGGCACCAAAGAAGCTCACGTACAGTGCCCTGAGTTCATGACTGGCAGAAAAAGAAAAGAAAAACACACACCTCCAAGATGTTTGTAGGGTTTAATTATTTTTATTTACCTGGTTTTATTTAAATAAGACTCCAAGATGAGGCTGGTCTATAATGTCAGCTGCTACTAAAAGAAGCAAGAATTATATCAAGGCTGGCTATAGAAACAATTTTGTAAGGAGAGCCGTGAATGGTTGTACATGGCTATTTCTCACTTATGTAGCTTTTTCTGTATATGCACTGTGCACTATATATGCACTGTGTTTCAATTACATACCTAGTTATGGATGTTGTAAACATGTACACTTAATGTAATCTTATATCTTGGGTATCTATTATATTATAAGGTACAATGAATGCTGAATATATTTAGGATTGCTTTTAAAAAATCAAGCTATTGGGGCTGGGAAGGTGGCTCAGTGTAGAGTGCTTGCCTTGCATGCATGAGGCTCTGGGTTCCATTCCTCAGCACCACATAAGCAAAAAGAAAAAAGCCGGAAGTGGCGCTGCGGCTCAAGTGGTACGGTGCTATCCTTGAGCTCAAGAGCTGAAGGACAGCGCCCAGGCCCAGAGTTCAGGCCCCACGGCCGGACCCCCCCAAAAAAATCAAGCTATTGGGGGCTGGGAAGTTGGCTCAGTGGTAGAGTGTTTGCCTTACATGCATGAGGCCCTGGGCTCGATTCCTCAGCTATTTATATGGTGTGGTTATGTAAACTAACAGTTGATCATCTTTCTTTCACAACTGAAAAAGAATATAAACTCTAGCAGGGTACCGGTGGCTCACGCCTGTAATCCTAGCGACTCAGGAAGCTGAGATCTGAAGATTGCGGTTCAAAGCCAGTCTGGACACGAAAGTCAGTGAAACTCTTATCTGCAATAAACCACCAGAAAGCCGGAAGTGGTGCTGTAGCTCAAGTGGTAGAGCACTCACCTTTGTTGAAGAGCTGAAGGACAGCGCCCAGGCCCAGAGTTCAAGCCCCGTGTCTGACAAAAAAAAAAAAAAGAATATAAACTCTTAAGTTTTCAGACTGTCTGGATTAAGAAAAAACATAATGCAGTCTACATGAACCCCAGGGTTTGTTTGTTTCTTCTGAGAATATGGTATTTCCAAGGACCTTTCACATTGATGGGACTTTTGTGACTGAAATTGTTCCCTTTGGAAACATTCCATGAATGAGATATTTATGTAAATCAGAAAAACAGAATCATAGAAATTATAAGAATTATAGGAACAAAAATGTCACTGTGCTTTTCTTGGTAATCCTAGAAACCATAACGCTAGCTATTAGGAAATAAAACCCTCAAAATCTATGCCAAAAACGAATATATATATATATATATAAAACACATGTATTTGTATCATCTGTAATATATATCATCTGTAATATATGTATTATATATTATAATAATATGTATAATATAAATAAAATATTTACAAATATATAAAACATATTATATATACTATAATTATAATATTATAATATATATTATATATTACAGATGATACAAATACATTTAAATGATTTCATTTAGTAATCAGTATTTAATGTGCTGGGAACCATGGTGAAAAGAAGTAGGAAGGGGGCTGGGAAGGTGGCTCAGTGGTAGAGCGCTTGTCTTGCAAGCCTGAGACCCTGGATTTGATTCCCCAGCACCACATAAGCAAAAAGAAAAAAGCCAGAAGTAGTGCTGTGGCTCAAGTGGTAGAGCGCTATCCTTGAACTGAAGAGCTGAGGGACAGTGCCCAGGCCCAGAGCTCAGGCCCCATGACCGGACCCCCCCCCAAAAAAAATAAAGAAGTAGGAAAGCTGTTTCAAGAGAGGATCACACCTGTAATCCTCACTACTGAAATCTAAAGATCTAAAGATCTTAGTTCAAAGTCAGCCTGTGCAAAACATCCTTGAGACTCTAATATCCAATTAACCAACAAAAAGCCAGAAGTGGAGGTGTGGCTCAAGTGGTAGAGTGCCAGCCTTGAAAGGTAAAAGCTAAGCAAGAATGCAAGCCCTTGAATTCAAGCCCTGTACTGGCACAAAAAAATAGGATAAAAAATGTAAACCACACTGCCCAGCTTTTTATTGGTAGATATGGGACCTATGCTGTCCTCAAACTATGTTCTTCTAGTTGCAGCCTCCCAAGTAGCCAGGATACAGGCCTGAGCCACTAGGCTTGGCTACTTAAAAGTTGTGGACAATATTGTCCTTAAAATAAGTTTTACAGCTGGCTGCTGGTGGTTCTCTCCTGTTATCCTAGCTACTCAGGAGAATGAGATCTGAGATCACAGTTGAAAGCTAGCCTGGGCAGGAAAGTCTTTGAAATTCTTTTTTTTTTTTGGGGGGGGTCCGGTTGTGGGGCCTGAACTCTGGGCCTGGGCGCTGTCCCTCAGCTCTTCAGCACAAGGCTAGCGCTCTACCACTTGAGCCACAACGCCACTTCTGGTTTTTTCTTTTTGCTTATGTGGTGCTGAGGAATTGAACCCAGGGCCTCAGGCTTGCAAGACAAGCTCTCTTCCACTGAGCCACCTTCCCAGCCCCAATCTTTGAAATTCTTATCTCCAATTAACCAACCAAAAAAGCCAGAAGTGGAGCTGTGACTCAAGTGATAGAACACTAAGCAAACTGAACCTTTGACCTTACTTCTTTCTCTTCTCTCTCTCACTCTCAGAGTGTGGCTGTTGCCACTCTGGCCTCTTCTCTATCTCCTTCTATTCAAAGCACACTCCTTTCTAGGTGACCTTGGCCTTGTTGCTCTTATTAGCAGGACACTCTTTAATACAGCGGATGGATATGTATGTAGTCCCTTTCCAGCCTTTCCTCTGTTAACACTCACTACTGTGACAAATGTGATACTGTTTGTGTTGTTTACTGACTATCAATTTCCAGGTGAATGTAAGCTCTATGAAAACAGGGATTTTTGCTTGTTTGCTTGCTTTGTCTGCTGTGGGTATTCTATTGCCTGGCATGTAACCAGTATACATTTATTGTCGAGTCTCTAAGCATGCATCTGAATCATTTTAAAAACTTCAATGATGGTGTCTGGTGAGGTGGTTCCAACCTGTAATCGTAGATCAGGGGATTGTAGTTCAACATCAGTCTGGGCATAAAGAAGAAAAATAAAATTGGTGAGACACTATCTCAACTAATACCTGTTCTCCCAGCTACAGGGGAAGTACAATGGACACCTATTATCCCAAACAACACTGAGGATGCACAAATAGGAAGATCGCCACCCAGGCCAGCCTGCATATAAAGCAAGACTCTAGCTGGAAAATAGCCAAGACTGTTATTGACTCAAGTGGTAGAACACCTGCCTGAGTTCAAACCCCAGAACTACCAAAACAAAACAAAACAAAGCCACTTCAGTGATGCCTTCATGCATCTCTTTGGCATCTTTCCTCGCTCGGTGATTTTTACTTAGGATGCCCTTTCC